AGGGCAATATGAAAATAATGGATCATATAATTAACAAGATTTTTGTGGAAGTGGAAGCTAATTTATTATACCAAGAAACTAAAATTGTTTTACAAGATTTAATACTCTCAATCTAAATTTAGACAAATGTATACAACAATGATCTAATTGTTATGCTTAGTCTGTGAAGAGTTTACCATGTGGAGTATATATAGAAGCCTAACCGGCGCCCCTGTTTGCCCCTTGCGTGCCGGCGCCTTAGCACCCCCGACTCTGTTCTTGTGTTTCCAAAACACTTTCAATCCATGAAGTTTAATCCTTATCAATCCGGACTTCCAAACCAAAATGATCTAAACTTCCTTTATGAACTAAACTTTCAAAGCACATGGAATTTGAGTCACGAACATAACAGGTAGGATGATTGCATTGCATTGGACAGTATTAAGGAAAAAAAATATTGTTGAGTCTTGTTTAGTACTGCATATCAAACTTGCACGTAATGGTTCAAATAATCTTAGGAAAATAGAAGGTTTTATTGTTTGCAATTCTTTCATGGTGGCAAGCAATTTCGTAGTGATGACAGATCTCAGGAATACGATTTCCACATTCAGAGACTTGTTTGACCTAACTCCTAGTGTTGGTTCTGCTTCGGTAAATGAGGTAATTCTCTGTCCTTTAGGCTCAACAATAGTAAGTGACAACTTATGATGGATAAAACTTGATGTTTAACTGTTGATTCTGATTGCGTGGGTTAATCTTCCAACAGTTGCTGATATATACCGTGAAGGATCTGCAGAAATTGTTTCCTTGTGTTGAAACAAATGTTTCAGTGTCGGAATTTGAAGGAGTGTCCGTGCATCAGGTCATTTTTGATGACTAAAAAATATAGCCACTGAATGAATGACTTATTCTAGTATGATTTTCACCTTGCAAATATTCGATGCTGAGTTGATGACTGATATCTTGTGAAAAAAGGCATTCATCTCGTTTGTGATGCTCTGAAATCAATTGGAGACTTGTGGATAAATGATGACGAATAGATGGTCAACTGTAAATATAATGCGGCAAATAAAATGGGTCTCGTGGATTTGGAAAAAGTTGGTATGTCTTAACATTATTTGGTAAAAAATCTTCATTCCTAATTTATTTGAAATTCTTAATGATCTCGTGGATTTGGCAAAACTTGGTATGTCTCAATATTATTTGGTAAAAAATCTTCATTCTTAATTTATTTGAAATTCTTAATGATTTTCCACCTATGATTACTAGTACTGGCAATGCTTGAGGACATGATTAAGCTAGCCAGGGAAAGATTATATGATACCACAGATGAGGATGTAGAGACGAGAGCCTACAGCTTCCCGGTAGATGCATTTGAAAAGGCTTTGTCTGAATCATATTCGGATAACATAGTTTCTTTTTCTAGCTTTCCAGAAACCCCAACTTCAGTCCTTCCAGAAATACGTGATGTCCAGACTATGGGTGTAAAGACTTCTTATTCTCCATCTTTACTCCTTCCTCGAAGAGTACAAGCGGTTAGAAAACTGAACCCCATTGATCTAAAGCACCTATCACTGCACATTTTCCCTCATGCTGTAGATCGAGATTCTAGATACTCGATCCAGTTAAGTAAGAAGCATGAGGAAGAACACCCGGAGATAGAAGCAACATGGCATTCTGAGGTGAATGCAGTGGGTAGGGACGAGGTTGTTGAATATTGTGAGAAGACGGAAGACGCAGATAAGATTTATGAGGTTATAGGTGATGCTCCTGAGATCTCAGTGAAAGAACATTCTGCACCAGGACCTCCACCACTATCACCAGTTAGTCCGAAAAACAAAGCGATGTTCCAAATTCCACCTCCGCCTTCACTGGCTTCAAGGAACACGATGTCATTACCTCCTTCTCCTTCTCCTCCACCACTACCTCCACCACTCCCTTTTACCTCTGGAAATCCAGCATGTCCTCCACCTCCTCCACCACCAATGACATCAAGAAATGGTGTTCCAGTACCGCCAGCCATTGGTGCATCGCCACCACCTCCAGGGCTTGCTGGTGCCAACAACTTCTGTCCCAAGAAAGCTGCCACAAAATTGAAGAGATCTTCCCAGATGGGTAATCTGTTTCGACTTCTCAAGGGGAAAATCGAAGGATCAAGTTTAGAAGGCAAATCATCAGGGAGGAAAGGTAAATTTGGCACCTCTGCCGGAGGAAAAAAGGGAATGGCTGATGCATTAGCAGAGATGACAAAACGGTAGATATTTACAATATTTTTATCATAAATGAGTATGCTTGATAGGCACAGTGTCATATTACTACCCAGAAGAAATTGAATAATTTATCCATTATTGTTTGCATTAATTTTTCAGGTCAGCATACTTCCAACAAATTGAAGAGGATGTCAAGAATCACACAAAATCAATTAACGAAGTGAAAGCTGCGATAACTTCTTTCCAGACATCCGACATGGCTGAGCTCATTAAGTTCCACCAATACGTGGAATCTCACCTTGAAAAATTAACTGATGAAACAAAGGTTCAATCAAACGAGTGCCCTTATTGATTCCTATATGCTGCTAGTATCACCGGATGATCATGTAGTACAAATCTTTATGCTGCAGGTATTAACAAGATTCGAAGATTTTCCCACTAAGAAATTGGAAGCGTTAAGGATGGCAGCAGCATTGTACTCGAAGTTAGATTTGGTAGCTAACACTTTGCAGAATTGGCCAGTAGTGTCACCTTTTGGCCAACTCCTAGACAAAGTTGAGAAATACTATAATAAGGTAAGCTCAAGGTCAAAATTTTGCTCTGCTAATATACTCGTCATGAGGACCTCATTAGTATGATTTAACAAAATCAAAATGAAATCACCTTCAGATCAAAGGAGAAATAGATACATTGGAGCAGACTAAAGATGATGACTCGAAGAAATTTCGAAGTCACAAAATTAATTTTGATTTCAGCATCCTTGTATGTATCAAAGAGTTGATGGTGGATGTTTCTTCGAGCTGTATGGAGCTGGCACTTAAGGTTGGTTAGTTCAGACCAGAATACTTTCTTAACAAGCGCATCTCTACATCAATGCTTACATTATGCTTCAACTAGATTGTTCTATTCCACCTGTTAGAGCATGTATGGGTAAGCTTAAGTTTACTTAAGTAAATGAGTTTTAAATGCATAGTTTTTGCATTGATCAAAATTTGAAATAAGTCACTATGCCCTTGTGTGGAACTGATTTTTTCAAAATTACTTTTTCCCTACACTCATTTTCAATTACACATTCTCAAAAAAAAAAAAAAAAAA